GGATCATTATTCTTAAAAGAATGTCTTACAAATTGGTTTGATAATTATATAACAAAAATTTTATTTTGTTAAAAAATTACATACTTTTGAAAATAAATTAAATATACATGAATATGTGAGAAAGAAACAAACATCCAAAGTAAAATAATGAAAATGGTTTCTTTAGCTTGATTTTCTTATAACCATAAAATATTATTATACATATGTATTACATTTAAAAATATAAAAAACAATGAAGACATAAAAAAATACATAAAAACAAAAAATAAATAAAATTGAAAACAAAAGTTTAAACTAAATAATTAATCAAACTCTTACAATGATATTTTAAATGAGTTTTCACCCCATGCAAGAACTTTTAAAAAAAACAAAGAGAATAATGAAGATATGAGATATGGTAAGTTACATTTTTAAAATAATTAAATTAGAGGAGTTATAATTATAATTTATAGTGTGTTTAATTGGAATTCAATAAAGAAAACCAATAGTCTTTGGAAATTTATATAATTTTCAGTTTCATTTTAGTAGTAAAGTCTGAATTTAAAGTATGAATTAATGTATATGATTAAATGTGTTTTTTGGTTAAAAATAAATACAAAATGGAACAATAAAGAAAGTGAAACCTTACTTATATATATATGATTTTAAATAACTTTCCACCAATAAGGCTTAAAAAATTTGTTGAATGATATATGATTAAGTCCTTTCATTTTCTTTGTCATTTGATTATAACTTATAGTGTAATTAAATTTTGTATTGAATGATTGTCATAAACATTTATTTATTTATTTTTAAAAAAAAAATTAAAGCCTTAAATATTTTTCCACCAATAAGGAGAGAGTGGAACCTTACTTTTATATATATGATTTGAAAAACATTGTTACATATAAACATATAATCAATGTTGTCTTAATCGTTCATGTTTTGTTATTAGTCAAGGGCTGAGAAAGGCCCCCTTTATATTTATTGAAAAAGGCTTAAACGTAATCACTATTTAAAAGCAAGTAAGTCATTTATGGAATATCTGAATCGAACTTCCGGGTTGAAATTGTTTAAAAACCGACCCGAGATACTTTTGTACTTCTCATTTAATATATAGGGGATAGTTTTCTAGAACATGTACACTTAGCTCTTTATTAAGAATCATTCTCTTAATTTTGGTTTTTGCAGTTTTTTTTTAATTTCTGGTGTTGATTTTAGTTTTAGTAAAATCTTGAAAAATAATTTATTTAGTTTTTGGTTTTTATATAATTATTTTTTAAAACCTTTCTACGTCATCTATTTTAATTTACTTTTTGTTTTGTGTTGGAAAAATAATAAATAGTGATAACTTAAAGAAAAAATAAAAAAATTAAGTAAGTTTTTCTGAATTTTTTCATAAAATGTGATTTTTGGTAACTACGGAAAGATTAGAAAACTTTGGTTGTTTAGCTAAATGGATTTACTACAATAGTGTGCACCCAATCAAGGCCCATAATAGACAAAAAAAAGGTTTTGCTAAATCATAACCAAACCAAATTATTTATCTTGGTTTGGTTCGGATTGGTTTATTAGGTTATGGTCTTTTTGCCCCACATACGGCACCATATATATATATATTCTCAAAATTCAACTCTTCTTCGTTCTCATCGCCGCAAGCTTACCCCAGCTCTCCTTCTAAACTTGTACTCCTTTTGCTTGGGGAATTCTCATCAGTACTACATATGTGAAACTCCATGGTAGGTTTTGTGTCTCAATCTTAATCTTTATATGAACATCTCCTTGATGGATTCTCTCTTCTTATTTTCCATATTTGATTTGTTTCTCGCTTGTATTCAGCTATTGCTTCTACGTGACGGCGACAATTTCCGTTGGGGTTTGCTTCTCTATGAATTCTTCTGGAGCAAGCCAAGTCTTCTTCACAATTCATGGGTTAGATTGATTTCTCCCTCATATTATTTTCATTTAAAATCTCAATATTTTTTTTCTTCATTAATTCTCTGCTTTGTCTTCCATGAATGATTTCCTTGATGAGCTTACTCTGTATAATATTGTATGCATACTTGTACCTTTTCCTAAGATACCAAGTCTGACTTGTGTTGATCATCTTGATTTCTTGATTCTGAGCATCTCTATGTATTTGACGAATTATTTGTAATGGAACTCTTCGAATTGATTGTTTTTTTTTTTCCTTTTCTAAGAAAATTTCTCTTTTTTTTGTCTTCTTTCTATGAAAACTTCTCTGAGGCGGGGTTTGTGTGGAGTTCCCTATAATTAGTTATTATTCTTTTCAACCATCTTCTGTTCTCATTTGTTTATTTTTCTGAAAATTTTAATACCACATTATTCTTCTTAGGTTTCTCGTAGATTAATGATTGAATCTGCTGATAATATATATTGAGATTCTCTTAAAGAAATACAGAAAATGATATGTTTAAGCTGATTCAGAGAAACTATTTTCTCAATAGTTTTTAGTTTACTGTGATTCCAACTTAATATTTAGAGTATAACCACTCAATCCATCAGCTCTAAATCTATTTATTTATTTTTATAGTACATCTTTTTATATACAAAGTAATCACTCATTTTTAATTTACTATTAGTTTATATCTTAAAAAATGGGGGATTTGCAAAAATGACCTTTCTAGGTTACCATTTTGTACAAATACCCTCCATTGGTGTTCATGTTCAAATATACTCCATTCTATGTACAAAATGACTAAACTACCATCCTTTAGTAGAACTCATGATGAAGAAAGGAATATTCCTTCCAACAAAAATAATATATTTTCCGAAAAATTACCCGTTAAAAATTTCCAACAAAAAATTTCCGCAATTCCTTAAAAAACCTTTTAAAAATCTTGTAAATATTTTAAAACCCTTATAAAATCCTTCAAAAAACTTGTAAAAATTTTAAAAACCCTTATAAAATCCTTTAAAATACCTTGTAATGCTTTTAAAAACCTATGTAAACCCTTTTAAAACCCTATAAACTTCCAAAACCGTTTAAAACCTCTTGTAAATCCTTTAATAAAAACTTTTTAAAACTTCTAAAACCCTTGTAAATCCTTAAAAACCATTTTAAAGCCCTTTTAAATGCCTTTCAAAACCCTTGTAAACCATTTAGAAACCGTGTAAAACTCCGAAACCCTTTAAACCCCCTTTTAAATCCTTTTAAAACCATTTTTAAATCCTTATAAATGCATTTTAAAATAGTTCTAAATCCTCTTAAAACCCCTTTAAAAAAAATACAGCCAAGAATGTTTTTCCCCTTCCCCAAACATATACAGCTGCTTCACACCATGACTTACAAGCAACCAATCCACAGATGTTATAACCTGCTAAGTCATATATAGCAGACCTCAATGTCATTACTACTATCTAGATATAGTAGTAGTTATCATGTGAGTTATCATTAGATGATGAGTTAGAATCAAATTTGACAGAATGATATCATATGGGTACTCTACAGTTGAGTCGTTCGGATGTTTGAACTCTTTTATCCTCTCCAAACATTGTTTCTCAAGATCTTTGTCAAGGTTAATCTCAAAACACTTGCGTAAATCAAGGTGCTCCAATTGAGGACAACCGTCAAGAAAGGCCTTCAAGCCAGTGTTAGTCAATGTTTCCTCTTGCATCTTCACAACGCCACCTCCAGCTTCTTGGGGCCATATTGACTAACGCTGGCTTGAAAGCCATTCTGAACGGTTATCCTCACATTGAACACCTTGACTTATGAAATTGTTTCAACAGTAAACTTGACAAAGATCGTGAGAAACAATTTTGGGAGAAGATAAAATAGTTCAAACGCGCGAATGACTCAAACACAAAGTACCCATATGGTATCCCTTTTGTCAATTTTGATTATGACTCATCATCTGATGAAGACTCAGATGATGAGTACTACTATATCCAGATAGCAGTAACGACATGAATGTCTACTATATATAACTCAGTAGGTTATAACATTCATGGATTGGTTGCTTGTAAGTTATGGTGTGAAGCTGTATATGTTCACGTAGGGGAAAAGCATCCTTGGCTTATATGCTTTCCTCGATGTGGAAAATTAATTGACTTCTAAGGTCCATATTCCACTAAACTCCTTCAACACTCGTAGAGATAAAAATTGTCTCATATTGACTTCAAAGATAATTACCTGCTAATTGATACATAGTAAACTTCAATGTCGTTACTACTTCCTAGATATAGTAGTAGTCCTCATATGAGTCATCATCAGATGATGAATCATAATCAAAATTGACAAAATTTATATCATATGGGTACTCTACGGTTGAGTCTTTCGGGTGTTTGAAATCTTTTATCCTCTCCAAACATTGCTTTTGACCAAGATCTTCATCAAGGTTAATGTTGAAACACATGCGTAAAACAAGGTGTTCCAAGTGAGGACAACCGTCAAGAATGGCCTTCAAGTTAGCGTTAGTCAATCTGTCCCCAAGAAGTGAGAAAAATTAGTGTTACATGATCTATGTCACTCTTGCATTTTCACTACGCCACCTCCAGCTTCTTGTGGACAGATCGACTATCGCTTGCTTGAAGGTTATTCTGACGGTTGTCCTCACTTGGAACACCTTGATTTACACAAGTGTTTCAACATTAACCTTGACGAAGATCTTGAGAAGGAATGTTTGGAGAGGATAAAAGAGTTCAAACGCCCGAACAACTCAACCGCATAATACTCATATAATATAATTTTTGTGAGCTTTGATTCTGACTCATCATCTAATGATGACTACTACTATATCTAGATAGTAGTAACGACATTGAGGTATACTTTGTTTGACTTAGCAGGTAATTATCTTTGAAGTCAAGATGAGACAGTTTTTATCTCTACGAGTGCTGAAAGAGGTTACTGAAACTTGGATTTGAGATATAAGATTCATGATCTTCTTTCTCAGAGATTTGAATTTATTTTAATTTACAAGACAATTAATAAACATAAAATTTGACACGGTCTTGACTTTTAAATTTTTCTCAAAGTGAAAGTTCTTTTATTTCAAAAACGTTTCTAATTTGAAGATGCTACTTGTTTTGTAGATCAAAATATCCGCAGAATAAGGCCCTTAATCATGTGAGCTCAAATACGAGTTTTAGTGACCTTCCTTCAGAACTTCTAGAGATAATAATGTCTCATTTAGACTTAGAAGATAACATACGTGTATCGGCTGCTTGTAAGTCATTGTTTGAATTTGTTGTATATGCACGGGTAGTGGAAAAGGCTCAGCTTGACTTATGTGTTGTCTTAAACGTGGCAACTTGATTGAACTTCGCGTTCTATTTCATTGGAAGTTGTAAACGTTGAGTTGACCATAGTTAGCTGTGTCCAAAAAAGAGCAACCTTGAGGTCAGATGGAAATGTTTCTAATGTTTAATGTTCTCTCCACATCTAATTGTCACAACTTAACAATTATATTTATATTGTTGATCACACAACTTTGCAAACCCTATTTGTATTAGAACTAGATAACCTCTTAATTCTATTACGATTACTTGGCATGTCTTATCTTAACCAAAATGTTAGAGATATTTTGGGTTGTAAGCTATTGAATCTTGTATATAACATTTATCATTCTTCATTCTCCCAAGTAATACAATAAATCTCTCTTTTGTTTTATCCGAAAGCAGCTACCGAGTACAAGTTGAGACTATTAACTAGCGTGAGGGAGTCCGATTATATATGAATTGCATTGAATCATCGAGGTTTTGGGAACTCTGTTTGCGCGAGCTTGCCAGGCTTTTGCTTCGATTGGTGCTAGCCTTAGTGAGAATCTTGACTGGCGAGAAGTGGTGATTATCAAAGATCGTTAAGCCCGTTGAGAGTAAGACCCTCAAATAAGAGTCTTAAACTCTTAAATGAAAGACACAAAGACACATGTATTTAAGCAAAAGTGTGTGTTCGAAATCTTATTTCATGGATTTAAGGCAGAGAGAGGGTTAAATATTTAAGCTAAATAAACGAATATATGAATACACAGCCTGAAAGTTTAGGCATGAGTGAGATATTTTGGATTTGCGATTGTAACATCAAATAACCGAATTTGAAGGTGTTATGACGAAGTCTAGAGTAAGATTAAGTCACCTAATGATTCCAATAGAACAAATGTTTAGAGAATTCAACTGTATATCAAATCACAAAGATAACAATCCTTTTGGTTTGAAAGTAAAATATATAAAAAGTTTCAAAGTTACGAAGCTTAGTTACGAGGACGAGTGCTCTCTGTAGTCCCAGCGACGCCTGACATAACTTTCGCGACATCACCTGCTGTAGCTTCAGGCTTCTTCTTGCTGTACAAAACCATATAGCCAAGTCCACCGATTATCACAGCTCCAACCGCTGCAGCTCTCACGGGACATATCCCTAGCGATTTCCGCTGGCCCAAGACTTCACTCGTCTGCCTCGCCGCTTGTTCCGGTCCTGCCATTTCCCCTCTTTATCTATATATATTGTTGTATGTGATCTTTCTATAAACGTAACGTATTATATCTCTCTCGCAAGTTAACTTCTTCCTACTATGTTTGTGTTGTTGAAAATTTGGAAATATTTGTAGAAGAGATTTGTGGTTACTATGGTTAAACGCACTCGTAGGACATGCTTAAGACTCGTTCCTTTTATCTATATTTAGCTTCATAACAATATTATATGTAAATATGGCTTAAGAAATTTGGAAATTCCTAACATCGTACATTATGAGAATTTCATGGAAACTAATTAATTTGTGTTATACATTGTACTTGTACTTTATTAGTTTGTTTGTAGTTAACTTGGACGCAAATTGGAACATAAACCATTCAGGTTTGAACGAAAGCCTATTTAGTATTTACAACGGTTAATTTCAAAAGACTTCACTATGATAGTTTTAACCTCATAAACACCAACAAATTTTAACATCTGCATTACTACTATAAACCCAAACAAAGAAAAAGTAAAGTTCCTTACTAATTTGTGCTTATGCATAAAACTACATGCATACTTATCAGACGGTACATACTTACTAGTTACTAGTTTTGATTTTAACCCAGCTTAGAGTATGAAACTATATGTTCGGAAAGACTATACGACTCGAGGTGAACTGTAAAAAAACGAGTTACCTATTTATGTAAAATGAGATCATGAGGGGGCTCTGTTTATATTCCAAGGTCAAAACTCGGAGGATCGCTTATTAAGCAACCTCTTGTGCGGGCTGATGAGGTTTCTTGAACCATCACTTGTTCCCTAGATGCTGCTACAACTCAGATTAGCAACAGGAAAAAAAAAGTCATTTTAGATTTCAATAATAAAATTAGATATAACCTATATAACTATAACTACAGTTTTGTATACTGAAATGCTCACTATTTGTAACTTGGATTCAGTTAAGCTTTACAAGTCTACAATATTAAATTCTAGAATCACCTTTCGTTGAAACAGACTGTATCTTGTGGCTTTGGCTGGTATCAGATTCTGGAGATACTTTTGTTAAAAGCACTGATGGTTGCAGTTTATAATCAGAACATGTCCCTGTAACATTCCGTCTCTGAAGGATGGAGAGTATCTGATTTACTGCATCGAAAGAAAAACTTGGCTAATGAATGGTCTCATGAAATGGTATTATAAATAAACCACTTGAGGAAAAATACAAATATTAGACCCACCATCACGTAAAGGCTTGTACGGAGGAACGTCCTTGCTTAGCTCATCATTCTCTAACCTTGAATCTGCAGCGGACCTTCCTGCACATTCACACAAGGAGGACAGGATATGTCAGATTAAACTATTGCAACATCAAACAGAAGAATGATTGGAATATTTCTAATGATGAGGAAAGTGGCTTCACAAACATGAGTTTTATTCAAATCTAATATACTGATCAGTTGTTTGGAGTTTTTTTTTTTTTTTTAAACATCCAACATCTTAGACAAGAAAAAAGTCTGTTTGCAAGTATTGTAACCTAGCTGAGAAAACGCTTTAATTACCACTATTATCAAAAAAAAAGATGTGGTGGGTAAATTTTCCAGGTCTTACCATCACAAAGAGAGTTGATCAAAGAGTGGCTATTGCTTTCTTTATCAGCTGAACCAAGAGGTACAAAGCCTGCAGACTTGTTGCTGTTAGTCATAGCGTGAAAAAATCAAGAAGTATATACATACGGATGTGTTTTTATCAAAGCTTTTACATATGAATACTAGGCAGAGCAAAAAGAAACACATGAAGAAACTATTATATCTCTAACAGGAACTTTACGAAGAACATATTCTGAAGAAATAATTATTCTCCATACTGTTAGAGTTATCAGATAAAAGGCGTCTCAAACTCTAGAACAACCTGGAAAAGCATCAATCTTATTCAACAAGGTTGAAGAAGGCACATTATCAATATGATCTAAATAGAATTCAGGTCTTCAGAGTTAATTCTTAGCACAATTTTCACCGTATCATCCATCAGTGTGATTGATATAATATTGATATTTACCAAACATGAATATGTAAACCACATTAAAATGTTCCAGATTCAATGGATACAGTTCAGCGATAGATGATTGAAGCATTAATTTCCATTTTGGCAAAATGCCAAAGTTTAGCTATGAAATGGTTCCAACATTCTGTTATCCAATACATAATTTGCAAAATGATTTCAACGAAAGGATTAGAAAGTATCAAACCTTTTGTTGCTGACTTCATAGTGTCTGGAGTCAGTGCCACATACTTATGCAGTTCTCTCTTTTTGAATGCTGAAATTGTAGAGGGAAAACATTACTAGCCTGCAGTGCTCTATTTTCACTCTCCAAGGAAATTGGATTAATATGCATTAAAAGTTCTTGCTAGGAGTAGAAGAGGGATTTACATTTCGCAAATGCAAAGTTACTAACACAAGTAAACTCACCTCTAATCATATTGTGAGATGGACTGAGACTTTTTGAAGAAAGTTTATTCACAAGGTTAGGCTTTTTCTCATCTGCCAGAACAAAAAGGGAAATTAGTATAGCAACACTCTTCAAGAGGATAAACTTCCCTACAAAAATTGTAAGAGTTAGGATAACAGAACATCATACCAAAACGAAGAGAACTCTTCTTAAAATTTGGCCTGCGCACTGCAAATGATTTGGGCGCAGAGCCTTGATCGCTTGGTTCAACCTTTATATCAATTGAAGCCTTACTTCCATCCTTAGGATCGCCTACATCCACAAGGTAAGCTTGAAATGTGATTGTTTCACCTGTGTCCACAACTTCGCCTGCCTTTAGCATCCTGCTTTCAAGTAGATTCTCTGCCTCGTCATACAGCGTCACCTGGTTTACAATACACTAAGGTTAGCTCTGAGACCTACTACTAAAATTATGATGAAACTGGAAAGCACAATATTCACTCATCCAAATAGTCCAAAATTGCCACTCTAAACTAGCAACTAGATCCTGTGTAAGAGAAACAAGTAAGCTTCAGATCTACTCAACTCAATTTCAGAATTTGTTCTAACAAAATCCTCCAGAAATCGAGAAATCCCAAAAGTAAAAAGCTCTAGCATATTCGATAAATTAATCAAACATGGAAACCAAATCAAAACATCAACTGCGTTATAGTGTATAGCTGTGTATCATGTTCTTCAACTAATCAACAATCACAAGTCAAAATCCAAATCCACAGAAACAGACCTCAAAAACTATCTCGGAACGAGAAAAATTTCCGAGATAGCTTAGAGATTTCTTCACAAAATCAAACAATCCAACGATCTCATTCCAAAAAATCCAAGATAATAACCTAGTGGATTGATTTTATACGAAGAATCGCAAGCGAAAGACTAAAGAGAGAAACACCTTTCGTCTGGTGATATGCAAATCAAGGAAGCCGTCGTGGTAGACCTTTCGTTTCTGCTTGATGTGTTTCGTAAACATCGCAATCCATCTCTTCTTCTCCGCCATCTCCGATGAGAGAATCGCGTTTTCGCCGTTTGATTTTCAAAATTTGGAGTGAGCAGTGACGTTTTTGACTCCGGGAGTAATGACGATGACTGAAGAAGAGACGACGATGGATTATAATTGTTTAATTCTAACCGCTCAACTTTTAAACGTTTTAACATTACACCCCATTACTTTTAAAAGAGTTTATTTCTCCCCTCTTAGATAATGCACATCGAAATTGTGGGAAAACATCACAGGATTTTAAGACGTGTATCGTATTTATACAAAGAATTTTAAAATGTGCTTATAGTTACATGAATTTAACTAAAATTTGAATCTTTTTACACAAACTATTCTGTCAAACCGAGAAACATGATTTGTTCGTTTTAGAGTCGTGCGACTAGTTCTAAAACGAGTGGGTTTTTTTTTAACTTCAGCTGTGTCGTACAGAGAAAAAGATAAGAAAAATACAGATCTAAAATTATTTGTCAATAGAAATTTGATTTGTTACACATATTTGTAGATTAAAAAAATGTCCACATTTTGAAAACAAGTTTTGGATTGTGTCGCTGTTTTAATCGGTGATTTTAGATTTCAAAGACTTTAATCGCTACAATAGAAAATAGAAGAGACGAACAAGAAATAAAAGAGATATGAAAGTAACTTTGTGGTGAATATTCGCAATCGTTGCTATTAATTGCTGAACATGCGCGTAGTGTTACTGTTATGTTAACAGATGATGACTAAGATATCATATTCGCATTTGAAAATCTGTAAATAAAGCGTGTCAAATTTATGGATATACAAAATCTGTAAATAAAATGCGTCAAATTTTATAGATATACAAAATTTATTGGAAACCGTTAAAAAAAATCAAAACGCACTAAATTTTATAAATATCGAAAATTCGTTAATGGCCGTTACAAACCAAATTTAAAAAAGCGCGCCAAAAACATAAAGTGTTCCATTTAGTTAACACTTGTTTGTTTCGGGTTTTGTCATATTTCTTCCTTTTTGTTAGTAAGTGATTTTTCTACGATTTGCTTAATGTATTTGACTTATAGTTAATTAGTTATCTCTTTGGATCATAAATTATCTAACTTTAAAATAATTTTTGTTTTTTATTAAACTGACATTAAATATATTTTAAGTGTAGTATAGCGAACATTTTGTTTCCACAATATCACAATCAAGAAGTTGCCAAGGAGTTTGTCTTGGATCATCCAAACCATGGTTTAGACTTTATAGAAACTTGCAAATAGTCTTTCTATTTTTTTGGGTTTCCTATTTATTTGGATTAATAGTAACCTAACTTATTAATTCTAAATATTTGAGTATTAGTAATCACTACCAAGTAAGATTATTACTACCAAAAAACAGATTAATTTGTCATATCATGATTAAAGTAAATGCATTACCATATTGTTGAACAATATCTAAGATACTATATATATAAAAAACAGTAAGAAGAGTCAAATTCTCGTATCTAACAATTGAATTAGTTTCTATAAAACTAAAACAAAATTGCATCTAAGATAAATTAATGTATTAATTGCTGCTTCTGATTCGTCGTTGTACCTATAAATACAAGTACCTTAGATGCAAAGTATACCTCACAAATCCAAATATCTTTCTCTCCTTTGGCTCCTAAGTTAAGACATGAGCGAGGACTCTTCGGTTTCAGTGGATCAGACACAACCAAGGTCTCTTTTTTTTTGTTTTCTTCTTCATTTTATGTTTTCTTGCATTTATCAATATTAGAGTTTGGAATTGTGATGCAATATTAATTTGATGTGATATTGTAATGAGCTCTTTTTATATTCAATTCTCAGAAATGGTGGTCAAGGAAGGGGGATGAATCCATTTGGTAATATGCTATGCATGCATACTCTCATTTAGTGTTTTATTATATTCCCTCCGTTCTAGAATATATGATTTTTTTAGCAAATGCATATAGATTAAGAAATCATTTAAGTTTTGTTTATTTCTAAAGAAAAACATCTCGATCTATTTGAAAAAAAATTCAACAAATGAAAAAACAATATGCAAAATATAAATTGATAAAAACAATATTCAATTTTGCATAGATTTGTGAAAAAATCATCTATTTTAGAAAAAAAAAAATCATCTATATAAGAACGGATGGAGTATTTTCTAATCTCCATTTTTATGATTCTTGATTATTTTTTTTTTTTCTTTGTAGTGCAACCACCCATTGCACGAAGAACCCTAATCATCCAGAATCAAACCGTAACTAGTTTCTTTCTTTTCCTCCATTAAATTAGTTCCATATCTTCTCATTAATCTTTAGTTCTTCTAAAAGAGATCGATGTTTTGAACTTATACCAAACAGGACGTCGTCACTATTCTATCAGCTCTTTCTAGGACAAGTCGTCAAGGATTCTACATCATGTCAGGGAGTGGATACGTTTCACAAGCCACCGTGGTGTCGTTACCATCCCGACTGATATTGACTGGCATTGTATTTGCTTAATATCTCAAACTCATTCAATAGAAGCATTTCTTTTTTTTTTCTTTTTTTCTTTTTTCTGATATGTTTGGTTATATGTATAGGGTCGGCAAATACTTTACATGAGTGGTTGGTTCCAACCAATGATCTCAATTACAGATAGTCTTGTACTAGCTAGTCGTCGCAACGGAATACTCCATGTCTCCCTTTCCGGTCTTGGACAAAGCCTTGGCATAGCACAACATCTTATTGCTGATGGACCTGTTGAGGTATTTATTGACTCTTTTTACCATTAGCTCATACCAAATTTGCAATGGTTATTGAGGGAACATGTATATGTAGGTGAATGTTGTTTTCCTTTCCGGACCGGGGTCGGAATATCCACCCGATGCACCAGCTCCTGGACCGATAGCACGGATTCGGCTGCAAGTTAACTATGTAGATGGAGCACATGCAGCACCACAAGCACCTGTTGAAGAATAGATGCACCAGAAAGTTGTACCTAGTTATGGCTGCAAAAGAAGAATAAGTAGTAGGAAGCAACTTAGAACGAAGTGAATAAGAGTGTTATACATATAGACATTCTTAGGATCTTAGAGAACTACTTATGATAGAAATCTAATTAATGTTTGCTTGGCCATATTTGACTAATAAATTAATAAAACAGAATTTTATTTCCTCAATGCTGAGAGGAACCAAGTTTTTCCAGCGAATCATGTTTTTTCTTACGAAACAAAGTCTTTCTACTGGATCCAGTCCTTGAAATATGTTGGATTTAAGGACTATATAATATCATAACATAAGTATCTCATGAAACATAATAGTTTTGAAGTACTTTTAAAAAAATTGAAAACGTGTCAAATTTCATTAATACTAATAATCCGTTAGAAACGGTTAAACAAAAAATCAAAGTGCGCCAAATTTCAGAAATATCAAAAATCTGTTGGAACAGTTATAAAAAAAAGTTCAAAGCGCGCCAAAAATTTGAGTGTTGTTTAATTTAGTTAACATGTTGCTTTAGAATCGTTATATTTCTTTGGTTTGTTAGTAAGTGATTTATATAGGATTTGCTTATCGTATTTGACTTATTTATTTTTTTGGATTATAATTATTATCTGACTTTTCGATAGATTTTTTTTGAAAAACATGAATTCTAAATAGTTTAAAAGTATAGTATAGTGAACACTTTTTTTTCCTTTTGAAAATTTGAGGATGTGAAAGACAAAAACATGTGGAAACAAAGGTACATACCAATCTATTGATTAAACGAATGTAATGTTTAATTTAACGATATGTGTGTTTTGGCTTGGTCAACGATATTTGATTTGTTAAACTGATAGTCAACAACACTTGATGTATTAAATGACCTTCCACAAAGTTCATGGTTTATTTAGCCTAATTTTGATTGTTCATGTAGTAACCGACACTTTTTCCCATTATAAAATCACACATCTAGACGCACCTCTCTCATGCTCCCTTGATTAAAACTGATTGTTTGTGTGCAGATTCTGACTACACATGAAGACATTTTTACTAGAATAAAGCCTTTGACTTACATTTTCTTTTTATCCTATTTAACAATCTTTGATAGTTTGTTTGTCATGGCATTTTCATAGGATTATCTAAACCATGAAATAAGAATCTTGATCTGTAAAATAGTGGAGATGGGTGGCTCCTAAAGACTGAACTAACTATGGATCTTTAGGAACGTCGTAACGAGTTACGTTGAGCCACAAGTTGAAAAAGCTTTCTTCAACCAAGTCATGCCTAGTTACCTTCAATTTGAATAGCAAATGCAAGAAGATTGTGTATGTTCATGGAGTCAATCACATCTACCTTTGCGAGGGTCTTCCAAAACATATTTGATCCAAATAAACTAAAACTATAAATTAATTAAAGTATAAAAAACATAAACCAACATAAATATTTTAGTTGCAAAGAAAATAGTAGAATGTTTTCCCATCTATTAATATGATGTACCATTCCATGAGACAAATTCATCTCTTACTTACCATTTAGATTAACACATCAAAATCAAATTACGAAATTTGAAACGTTCAAAACAAAGTAAATGAAACTTTTTAACATCTTTATTCATATTAGAAGATGTGATCAAGCCAAACAAAATCAAACTCCAATAATTTGTTTGTTGAAATTCTCTAATTTTTCGGATTCGGTACGAGCCACGGCAGTTGATAAGTCTATGTAACCAGGTTGTTCTTGTCTCTCCGCCATTATCTTCTTTGTAGATTTGTAGTATGCACCATATAATATCAACTGTCCCAATCCAAATACACATCCAATCCCATTTGGTATCTACAAAATATTACTCTTGTTAATTAGTCTTTACTTCACAAATAAAAAAAAGAACCAATTCAAATTTTACAATTCCACATACATTTTATTCACACATAAGTATTCATTTTTGTAGGTGACACATGAAAAACTCACAGCAATGAATGGGTCGAAAGGCATGAGTGCATAGATTGTCCAAACGCCTGCATTGAGAAACGCAGCGAACGATAGCCAAAACGGCATGAACTCCACACTTTTTGTCTTTATTACCATTTTCTTCATTATAATTATTTTGGCCAACACAATGCTATATGGTTAGTTCATGTTTTGGATTCTACCATAATTTAGTCACAAAAAAAAATAAGGATAAAATCATATAAAATGTAACGTACCATGACAGATAATGGAGAAGCGTACATCATAACGTTGAAAACGCAACAAACGATTCCAACGCTCATCGTTCGTTGATCGGTAGTGTGTTGGAGGGTAAAGACCAAAACCGCGAGAATAGCTACAAGCGCGGTTTCGCCCGCTAAAACAGCGGCTATTGCCAACCGCTGTTTTTTATGGCCGCAATAGATAAAAAATATTGCAAGGAAAACGATTTCGATCGCGATTCCCGTGCCGTTGATCGTAAGGACCAATGTGCTGTCCGGATGCACCTTAGGGAGGCCGTAAAGAACCCAAACCATACAGTTTATGAGAGTCGCTAAATACGGTATTGGCGAGTATGCCTCTACTGACTTCTTTTTCACTATCCCGACAAATGTTGGCCTGAGACATTAATAATTAAAAAAAAAATTATCATCTATTTTATTAGAAATTATTAATTATAAATGTACTTTAATTTGTCTTTTATTTGGAAGAAAATCTAGAACATAAATAAACTTTTTTAGTTGTTATTAATATGATAGAAAAATATTATAATATGAGAAAAAAGTATCAACTTAAAAATTGTGATTACTCAGAAAAAAATTGAAGGATTCAGTGATGAAAGAACAAAACAAAATCTAAAATATCTTTCAAGAGGTACCATATGTCTTAAAACTTACTAAGAACACAATTATGAGTTTCTTATTCTTAATTATACATTATATGAATTCTCTTTGCATGTATCTTTAAAGCATATATATACTTACGTTGGTGACAAGAACAGACATAGAGCAATGAAGTTTCCTGCAAACAAAATTATCCCAAGTCAAGAAAAATAAGATAATCATGTTATTTAATATAACTTGTAGATTAGAATAATATAAAAAAACACTGGACTAATTAAAACCTATTATTCCAACGATCTTCCGAACAAGGTTAAGATGTGCAAACCCCATAACTTTGAATGTACTTGGTGATGATGAAGAAGGAGAAGAAGAAGAAATAAAATTGATTAAATGATTTGAGAAACTATCTTAGTTTGGTAAATCAGAGAAGAAGGTTTGGTCGATTGGGTTGGTGTTTATATAGAGAGAGGGATCATAATAAGAGATACAAAGATGTTATGATATGACAATACAAATGATACAAATAGGTGTGATTGTGTGAATACAATGCATGCACCGTGTGAAAGAGAAAAAAAAGAAGTCATTTACTAACTCTTATTTAAAAATTTGAAGGGTATTAATATTGAATTAAAATTAAACATACATTTATGATTAGACTTGTAATACATAATGACAAATGACTTTTTAAGCTTACAAAATGACAAATGACTTGGTAATTATTAATTTATCAAATCATAGTCTCATTAGTTTACCTCTTTTGCATAAAACATCACTAACCATGAATTTAATTCAACCAACAAGAAAACATATTGTAAAGTTTAATTGGTCAAAAATATTTAATACTTTTAACTTTTCATAAAAAATTGAAATCTCACTTATTTTGTAACATAACTTTTTCCCTAAAATTAATTTATAGATTAAAACAGAAAAAGTATAGATTAAAAATATTTTATTTATTATTTGCCTAAGAAAAAAAATCAATTAATAATTAACAAACTCCATGTAGAGTATAAATGGTCAACAAAAAAATGATTAATTTCACATCGCAAATTGGAAAATTTCAATAGAAGAAAACATCATTTCAAAGTTACTACTTACTATAGTACTAACGCAATATATAATTTGTAACCAAATTATAATATAGCAGTAGTAGAAGGGTTGCTATGTATACTTTAGAGTTTAGATTTTTTTTTTTTCACTAATATCAATTATAATGGATTTTCTGATGTTAACTTTTAAAATATGTAAATATCAGCAAGTTCAAAGCTCATTCTGAATATTATAAAACCAAACATATATATAATGAGCTTGTCTTTAATACTTGTAAATTTTGCCATTTGGCTTCATCTAAAAAATGTGTGCATTTATTTATGAGCTTATTACAATACATTTATTAGGGCAAATATCAAAATTAAAAATAATTTTGAGATGTCAAAAAAGAAACTGGAACTTAATTTTGTGAGATTTTTCTTCTTTCTTTTTTAAAGAAAAGTATGACTTTAGATCTAAATGTTATAGTAAACACACAAAAAAAGAAAAATCAGGTTTAAATATCTAGCCGATCATTCCACGTACTACAAGACGAGCTTTGTTAGGTTTTATCATGTAATCAGTTTTGCATTAGATACTAAACACTCATTTATAATAAAAAAAAATCACTTAGATGCAAACTAAAATGTTGTAATTCTCTTCTTCATACCCACTTTTGTTTCAAACCAAACCTTTAGAATAACAACAATTCACATGTAAAAACATTTACTCAAGCATGTTCGCCAGTGGTCTCTCTCTATATATATTAAAAATTATATTTTCTTGATAACTAAGAGGTTTAGGACCGAAATCCGTAATTTTCCTAGAGCCTCGAAAAAAAACGGATGAAAACCCTTGGCCAAACGAAAATATCTATGCTTTGGTATCTTAGCTCATCAGGACATTAGAAACGAAAACAAAAGAAGAAGTAGCTAGGCGGGCCTATTAGGACATAATTAACTTCACGTACATAATGGTTTAAGTAGACTCCAAACGTTTATACTAGGAAATGTGATTGGACGTATCTCTATATCCATGAAACAAACCAAAAACACACATCTACCATGCATGTGTGGTCGTGTGAATGTGTATGAAAATTTATTTGTATATGATCGATCTCTGTTTATTTCCTTGCAAGAAACACATCTACGTTTACATACGCAACTTATAAATTTTTTGGATAGAATAGATCTCTAGGAATGATGTAAAAGGACATCTACCAACACACATACACATTTTAAAACGTTCAGGGCATCTATTCGTCTATATACATTTATAAAACAGACAGAAACAAATTCGTAAGGCATGTTCATAGTTTCGTTTTCTAGTCTTGTTTGAGTAAACAATAATTACAATGCAATTAATCAAACCTATGAGAATATTATTTAGATTCATGATCAGAGTAGGATTGAATTAATAACCTTGCAAAACATCCTTCAACAATGGTTAAAAACAATATGTTTTGGCCAAGTCACTCGAGTACTTATGTTTTGTTTTGTGACAATAGCCTTACACGGGTGCAAAAACTGTTATTTAAAGGAGGATTAATACATGAACTTTTAAAAATTACTACCACATTATTTAAACATTAATAACAAATTCAGATGATAGGGGTAAAATTGGAATTTATTTTTGGTTTGTGATCATAGGTAGAAATTTACCAAAAGTTAAATACACGAAGACTTTTTATAACAAAATTAAATAAACAAAGTTTTTTAGTCAAATTGAAAAGGTACATGTATTAAACGTCCAAAAGAATAATAGATGGTGAATTTTTAGGTTTTTTCCCTTTAATCTACTCAAAGATGTGTATCGATCTTAATTGTTTCTTACACGTGAAAAAGAGATTAGATTAACATGAAACAAAGATTTCAAATGTGAACAAGTCTAATAGGTAGGATCCTTATATAGGTACTCTTGGTTTGAATCCTGATCAGGAGCTGAGTTGAGTAGACAAATAGAATCTTTTAAACCTTTTTCTAGCCATACTACCTAGCTAGGAACCAAAGTAGAAGGTGGTCTTCTTACCTATAGCTCGAGCTTTCATAGGATCAAAACTCAAAACACCTATAAAGCCTTGCCTAAGGAACCAAGAAACAAAACTACAATTGGTTTTTGGGATATATGAAAATTTGTTGTAAAGTCTCTCTGCTTTTGGTGAACCGTCCTAATCCGAATACCATATTAAGTTTCAACTATTATGAATAAGATCATCAAATCATGAATCATATATCAAATTTGTACAAGTTAAAAAGGAAAAGACTTGCAAGTATACTTCTACACAAATTGTAAGGAGTAAATTTATACAAGTTAGCATAAACATTCATGAAAAAAAAAATTATAGTTATTAAAGTAAGAAAAAAAAAAAAGAGTGATTGAATTGAAGAAAAAATCTCAAACTTCAACAAACAAGCTCACCACCTTAGCAGTAAGTATTTTCACCAAACTCAAATAATAAAACGCTATACATGAAATTAATTCATCAACCTCAGATTTTATGATACAGAGAGAAAAAAAAAAACAAAGATCAGATTAAAAGGAAAATGATATAACAATTATAATAAAATAGAATATTGAATTATATATATGGATTGATTTTTATTATATATGATTTATTACTCTTTTTTTTGTTTCTCAGAACTTGAAACCGAGGCTGGGCCATTTCTTAGCAGAAGACTCTTTCTTGGTAGGTCTTGCGTTTGGATCAATCAGATTCTGGAGGGACTTGGCTTTGTAGTTCCGTGACCGCCCAGCTTCCTTCAAAAGCTCGGCTAAACGCTTCTTCTCGTCCTCGAAATCTGGATTCGCAGTCCCGAGCTTTTCCTCTCTGAGTTTCAGAACCTGCTCTAATATCTCAATCGCATCCTCTATCCTGCAAATTACATAGCCATCACAAAGAACATCATTAGTGTTTTTGTCCAGTAGTTTTCGTTAAGGATGTCTAATATAGTTTAACCAATCCAAACTGCACCGAAACCATACACATTTTGACCTGAACCAGTTACGATTATGGTTTTGGTAAACGAGCAGATCAACAGTGCTATGTCAGATAGGTTTCTTTAAGAAATTACCTTCCCATGGCGTCATAGGTAGCAGCCAGATTGCTGTAAACGCCGAGAGTGTCCTGATCGCACGGTCCACGTTCTTGTTCAAGAATTCCTCTTGCTTCCTCAAACAGCTCACCCGCCTCATCAATCTTGAAAAGCTGTACGCAGGCTAGTCCCATCTGGTTTAATACAACTCCGAAGAAGGCAGATTTCTCACCCGCTGCCCTTAGCTTTGTCACAGCGCTCTCAAACGAGTTTCTTGCGTCTTCGTACCTCCCCAACGTGTAGTACATAACTCCCATCCTTGCCTCCAACCCTGCAAAAATTTACATACAAAGCCAAACTAATGTAAAGGAATGTTGGAAACACAAAAAATCTCATTCTCATATTGCTAACGACTCCCATTTAAATTCATTTTCTCATCTGATCACATAGTACTTCCCTATACAAAAGCTTAGGTAAACATTCAGATCCCTTATTTCTAGGATCTTCAATAATATCCTTAATCTTTGGTAAGCCTAAAACAGGTGATAAACCCAATTTCTATTGCAAACCCAGAAAAGTTGATTCAAGTGGCTTTTACTTGCATGCTTGACAACACAAAGATCAGAGTATGTAACATTCAATTTGAGACCATAATCGCACAGTTTAAATAAATACTGCATACCAATCCAGCATAAAGAACATTCACTGTTTTGATAATTTACCTGCAATTGCACTCTGCTGTCCTGGTTTATCCTCAAGCAATTTCATCGACTTCTGAAGTAGCTTCAATGCTTCCTCAGGTTCATCCACAGACTCATAAATAGCAGAAATCTCTGTCAACCCACCAGCAATCTCCTCCACAGTTGTCCCAGGCACCGGCTTGTTGTATATCCTCAACGCATTCTCACAATAGGACTTGGACTCACGCAGTTTCCCTGTCCTATGGTAAAGCTCAGCCAACCTGACAAACACTGATGCAACCGTCGGATGACTCTCGCCTTTAGAAGACTTAAACACAGTGAGAGCCTTCTGATAAGAGAACACAGCTTCATCAAACCGGCACAGCGACATGTAAATATTCCCAATGCTAACATCGATCGACGCAACCTCGGATTCTTGCCCACTCGCAATCATAGCCATACTTGCAAGAACAAGATGCTCGAGAGCATTTTCATAATCTCCTTTAGCCTCACAGATAATTGCCATCAGCCTCCTATCAGCTGCCTCCTCCAATGAAGCAGGTTCACTATGCGCACGATGGATCTCTAGCGTTTTCTTGCATAACTCTTCCGCTTTATTGAACTGCATTGCTTGAACATAAGCTTCTGCTAAGTACCTGAAAATTATAGGAAACTTCAGAACCTGGACATAGATCCCTTTTACTCTCCAATTCTAAATCTGACTAATTTATACTTTGCAGATACATATCAGAAGAGCCAATGAAGAAACAAATCTCAATTAGATTCACTTGCTATAAACTTAGATCTAATCAAAACAGTAGCTTTCACTTAATTGAATCATTGTGTTAAGAATCTAAAGATTTTTATTAACCATTAAATGTTTAATTAATAGAACCTGCAAGTTTCTCCAACTCGTGGATCCGTATCGCCTAGAGTCTGGATCTGGATCTTAAGACCTTCTTCATAACAAGCAATAGATCTATCGATCTGACCAAGCATGGACAAAGTATCACCAAGCTGCATATGACCAGAGAACGCAGCGAGAGAGTGGTCAGGGCCACGACTCGGGTCAGGGACCTGAATAGCTCGCTCAAGCGGCGGTACAGCTTCATCGAATCGACCAAGACTACAGTAAATAGCAGCGAGGACGTGAAGACTCATGGCTAGGTCAAGAACAGGTCCACCATCGCTACCGCCGGGAATAGGCGGAGCAACGGCGGCGCAACATCTCTCAAACGATTTGGTAGCGCGGATCGCGTAATCTAATGCTTTATTAGGACCTTCACCAGAAGCAATGG